TCCATCCATCCATCCATCCATCCATCCATCCATCCATTCTTCCTCCATCCTAACATGGCCAGCAAAGATGGCCCTGTGTTGGAAATACGATGCTTTGGAGAAGAGAAAGGAAATGTAATCTCTGAGCTCACTTGGCCCTAGAACTTTCTGGGTAGAAAAGATACTCCCAAGTGTACAAAATTGCCCTCTTCATCTCGGGTGGGTAACAAATAACTGTACAACGTTCCTATGGAGGAAAAACTGGACGCAAGGAGGGCAAGAGGGCAGGCGGCACAGAAGCCATGCACTTTGCCTCTGCTATTCTTGGAGACTTTTGGAGAGCGTCAAGGCAAAGGTTTTTGGTTTTTGTTTTCTGTCGTTTTTACAGTAATCTGTTTCCTTCTATATTTTTGAAACATCTGTTCCAAAGGTACTAAAATGTCTGTGGTGGCTGAGAACTTTTCCACTGCAAAAAACAAAAGCCTTGTTAAATTACGACACGTTTCCAGACCAGACCTGGAGAAAAGGTTTTTGCTATTCCCATTATATGAATACTTTGGCCATTTTCTTCACATTGCAATGTAGCTTTCCACTGGACGTCTATATTTAGACTTCAAAGGTTATATATATATATTTTTTAAAAAATCTTTCCTATTTAGGAGAGAATAAGAATGACTTTTCTTTTGCATCCAGCTTTTTGAAAAATAGAATAGTCACACATTTAATTTGGAGTGGGCGTCCTTCCCCATTTGTAATGATGACAGTGGATCCCATCAAATAGAGTAGATGTTCTAATGATTTTAATAGATTTGGATTTTGTTGAGCACCACCTTTTCCCAAAGCAATGTCATTTTAACTGGCCAGACTTCGTCCTTCAAAGCTTTAATTCACAACAACCTCAAAGGTCAATGGAGTGTAAATGGGTGGAATTTTGAATTGAGACATGGAAAAACAAGAGTTGGAACCCAGCTAGCTATTCCAGTTTGTTCTGTCACCTTCCATATTGTTCAAATCTAGATTTCCAATGAACATTAGGAACACAATGCTCTCGGTGTCACACAATTGTCATAGAGATGCATTTACTTCATGGTTGCATAAGTGGAATTCCACAATCTCTGACCATTCTCTGACTTAGGACGCATCTACATTACAGAATTAGTGCAGTTTGATACCTCTTTAACTGTCATGGCTCCATCCTATGGAATCCTGGGATTGATAGCTTGTTGTGGCCCCAGAGCTCTTTGACACAGAAGGCTAAATTTCTCAAAAACTACAAATCCATAGCATTGAGCCATGGCAGTTAAAGCGGTGTCAAACTGAATTAATTCTGCAGTGTAGATGCAGTCTAAAGGAGAACTATTGCATCAGTGGGACCTAGCCTCCAAGAGGAGAAGAAGGAGAAGGAGAAAAAAAAAGAGATTATTGTTATTTTTGTCAAAAAATTAAAAATAAATAAAAGACAAGACAATAATGCCAAAAAGACAGTGAATTTCGACAGCTATCAGGACAGAAAAACAGGACAGAGAAGGTCAATTCTGCAGCCAACAATTGTTCTTCTTCTTTCTTTCTTTCTTTCTTTCTTTGCTCATAATAATGATTAATATCATGGCAACACCCTGCATCGAGGGTAAAAAAACACAGTCCTTTCCCAAAAGCATGACTCAGCCACCTCACTCCCAACTATCTGTGAGATTCCTTGGAAAGAATTGCCGGCTCCTTTCTGCACACTGCGGCCCTATCTTCCCAAAAACCTGTCAAATCTTTCAGTGCTTCGTGGGAGGAAGCGGTCCAGCGCAATCCCACACCTGTCGCTGGGTCTCATGATAACGGCTGCAATTCTGGGGCCCAGAACGCTCCTCCGAGTTTCCAGCGTGGCGTCCAATAATCTCAATCATTGTTCCCAAGAATGCGATAGACACAATGTTCAGAGCAATTTTGTGCCTGTGGGGAGGGAGGGAATAGGAGGCCAACCAAGTGGATGGGATCCAAAGCCTGTTGAAATCAACAACGAGGGATCTGCGGAGGCAAAGACTGGGGAAAGGGAACCAACAGTTGCAAGTTGGCACACCTCTTTCGTCAGCAAAGAGCCATCCATCCATCCATCCATCCATCCATGGCCCTGTCACACAACCCATGAATAGTAGTACACTTGGCCCTCTGTATCCATATATATATATATATTTTATTCACAGATTCAACCATCCACAGCTTGAAAATATACAAAGAAGTATACATTCCAACCAGGAAACCTTGATTTTGCCATCTTACATAATGGACACCATTTTGCTATGCTAGTGTGTGTGTGTGTGTGTGTGTGTGTGTGTGTGTGTACATATATATATGGAACATAAGCACCTACAGATTTTGGATACCCATGGGAGGTGGGATGTGTGTCCTGAAATTAAATCCCAGCAGATACCAAGGGCCCACTGAACTATAATTCCACTTTAACTGCCATGGCTGTATCCTATGGAGTCCTGGCATTTGTAGTTTAGTGAACCAAGGCACTAGAGCTGAATACTCCCTGAACTATAAATCCCAGTATTCCATAGGATACAACCATAGTAGTTAAAGTAAATTGATAGCCCTGTGGGCTTTTGGTATACACTAGCATTTGGTCCCAAGACCCGCCACCCATAGGTACCAAAATCTGTGTATGCTCAAGTCCCATTGAATACAAGGGAGTAATAAAAGGTGTCCCTTCTGTCACCAGGCAGCAAGTGCTGTGAGCAACAAGGGCTCTGTTCTTCTTTTGGCCAAGGTGCACCACACTGATGTTCCCCACCTCTCCCATGCTATTGTCAGAAGCCCAATCCCTGCCGCAATACCCGCAATCACTTATGGGAGAAGGTAGAAACACCAATTGGGTGAAAGGATCTAGGGGTCTTAGTAGACCATATGCTGCCCATGAGTCAAGAATGTGATGCAGCAGCCCCAAAAGCCAATGCAATTCTAGGCTGCATCAAGTGTCCATATCAAGAGAAGTACTAAGGCCACTCTATTCTGCTTTGGTTAGACCTCACCTGGAATATTGAGTCCACATCTGAGCATCATAGTTCAAGAAAAACATTGACAATCTGGAATGTGTGTCCCCCCCCCCAAAAAAAAGGGGGGGGAAGGGGTGACCAAGATGATCAAATGTCTGGAAACCAAGTCTTGTGAGGCATGACTTTGGGATCTGGGTATGTTGAGTTGGAGCAGAGAAGACTGAGATGTGACATGAGAAGTCATCTTTGAATATCGGAAGGGATGTCATGGAGAGGATGGAGCCTGCTTGTTTTCTGCTGATTCAGAGACTGGAACATAAACCAATGGATTCACATTACAAGAAAAGAGATAACATTAGGAAGAACTTTTTTGGTGTAAAAACTATTCAACAGTGAAATAGATTGTCTTAGACTGAGGTGGTGGACTCTCCATCTTTGGAGGTCTTCAAACAGAGGTTGGATGGGCATCTTTCAGGAGTGCTTTCGTTGTGGCAAGAGGTTGGTCTACATGGTCTTTGTGGTCCCTTCCAGCTCTAAGGATCCATGGCTTTATGATCTCAGCCAGAATGCCATTGTCTGGACCTAGTTTTCCTCTTAACATTAGTAGGCTTCAAAGTGGAAACATCAGGGGCAACCCCACCTTTAGGGCTGTGTGTGTGTGTGTGTGTGTGTGTGTGTGTGTGTGTGTAACACTAGACAAGCAGAAAGGTTTCATTCATCTAAACAACTTTATGGCAATCTCTTCAAATTACTGCGCCCCATGGAAGCTGTGAGATTTCAAAACAGAATGGAGAAAGAAGTTGTTTTAAGGCCAGCCAAGTCGTGATACTGTATTTAATCTTTCCCAGCGGTGAGCTCATCTCCCATTACCAAACAAATACTCTAATCAAGAAAAGTCCTCCTTGGAGGTCGGTCGGTCGGTCGGTCGGTCGGGGCTGATGCACATGCTTCCTCCCCCCAAAACGCCCCGTCCTTCAAGGCCTTCTTCTGCGTGGAATAACATTAATGCAGAAATCACATTCACCTGTGATACAGAATCTGGGCCCAACCTATAAGACAGACCAACGGAGGACGGTTGCGGGAAAGAAATAAAGACTTCACCTTTTACTGAAACAAAAATGAGCCCGTGAACAAATAATAATCCCAAAGTCTTTCCAGATATGTCTTCGCGTGGGTTGTAGCTCCATTTTGTAGAAAAGCAAACAACTTGAGTAAGTTATCCCACCTTAGGGGTGGTTGTTGTTATTCTATTTATTTGTATCCCACCTTCCTCCCAAATTAGGAGAGAGGCTCAAGGCAGTTTACAGTTTAAAAGAGCGATAGAATTTCTTTAAAAAAAAACATGCACAAAGTGCACATTAAAATAGAATTAAACTAGTCACAATATTAAAACAATTTTCACCTCAAGTTAAAAGAATAAAATGCAATTTAAAATGTTTTGTTGTGGTGGTCATTGTGTGCCTTCAAGTCATTTCTGACTTATGGCCAACCTTTCATGGGATTTTCTTGGCAAGTTTCTTCAGAGGGGGCTAGCCACTGCCAGCCTCCGAAGCTGAGAGAGTGTGACTTGCCCAAGGTCACCCAGTGGGTTTACGTGGCTGAGCCAGGATTCAAACCCTGGTCCCCGGAACCATAGTCCAACACTCAAACCACTAGGCCATGCTGGCTCTCCATTTAAATTATAGGAAGCTCTTTAAAACAGTTCATGTAAAACAATACAGTCCATATTCCAAGCGTGTTGGGATAAAAAGGTTTTAGCCAGAAAGAAGGGTCCAGAAGAACCCGTCCCAAGACTGATCCTGGAAGGACCCCACTGTTCCTCTCCCCATCTCTTGCAAGAACTGGCCATATATTCCACCGAAAGGAATAATTATGGCAGCGAAAGAGGTCATCCCAAAGTAAACCTCCTCCTCTGTTCGCTCTAAGTGCTGCTGGCATGGGGCTGAATTTACAGGAGCCTTTCATTAGAGTCAGGCTTAGTAGTGCAAAGCCTAATTTACAGTCCCCTTCTCTTCTAGGTAGATTCCTTTTAGCGAAAGTGAGTTTTAAGGGCCAGCCATCCTTCTTCTCCTGCCTGTGTTTTTGTTAAGACACCTGGGCTCTATCAGACAGCGGAGGGGATGTGGACTGGCACGATGGAGAACCTATTCCAAATTTTATATCTTGGAAGACCTGTAAGGAAAGGCAGCTGCTTATGCTGAACACTCTTGATAGCAGTTTTTTGAAAAAGAAAGGGGGGAAAAAGATCCTTAAGTAGGTCTACACAGTTTCACTAAGTTGAAGGAGCATAAGAACAAAATTCATAGTGTGAGGTCTAATTTGCAGTTTCTTTGTACTGTTTGAGAAGCCAGTGAGGTATAGTGATATGGGTGTTGGATAGGACTCCGGGGACCAGGGTTCGAGTTCCTGCTCAGTCATGGAGGTCCTCTAGATGTCCTCAGACAAGTCACACTCTCTCTGCTTCAGAGAAAAGCAACAGCAAAGCTCCTCTGAATAAATCCTGCCAAAAAACCCACCAAAAACCC